CAATTCTAACGTGCTAGTTCTCAGGTTTGGTCGGTGAACGATGGTGGGATGGGCGAACATTTGAACAGATGTTTGTCCGTGTTTTTTTGTATAAAATGTTCTGCCATAACAGATTAGTATACAGGTGATACAGGTGATACAAGAAACTAAATCGTATTATGTGGGGACTGACTATATATATAATATATATATATATATATATATATCATGCCAACAAGAAAACCAAGAGAATCCAGCTGGAATGATGTCGATATTCAGAAAGCAACTATGTGACAAAATCTATGAATACGCTACAAATGTTAGGGACCAGCAAACTTCTACATTTGGGGGAGCGAGGGGAGTAGTGGTTTGTGAAAACGTGTCTATCAAGCTTTGAATACTCTAGACGCAACAAAGCCATTCTCTTTATCTATATAAATATTTATACATTCCAATGGCAGCCAATCAACGAGCACTGTAGACATCGATGTCATTTTAAAACATTCCCGTGTCATGCAATCAGCTAATAGAAACCTCTCGCTTTAGTTCGGACTGAGAAATTATAAATATTTATAGAAATGAGGGGAATGATTCTGTTGCGTTGAGAGTATAGTAGTATATTTACATCACCAACTTTATATTGCCCAGTATTAAATAATACCGTAGGCTGCGATACTCGCTTGCCTCAGGCTCGAAACTGTGTAACTCGTGAGAAAAATACTACTCACGCCGTCGTTTCAGTTTTATTTTTAGTCAGTGCCAGCTAATGTTTTTAAAAGTGAAATTTATAGAAAAAAACACTTTATAGTCACCCGCCCGGTCACGCTTGCGATCACAGTGCACAAACGTGCGGGTGTATGTGTGTCCCTACTGCTCGGAAACTATACTACCATGTAAATGGGAATTATGTATATTTTTTGCAATTTTGGCAACTAGAAATATACAACGACACACACAAATAAAATTACTGGTCGCCAACCGCATCAACACGTGTACTGCATGAGGGTGGGTGGAATTGGTGTTCATTCTACAGTAAAATAAATATGTCATTATCGGTTTCAACATCCGGTACCAGTGACTCAACATGTTGTTGTTGTTGTAATGATCTTGTTATGGCAATGTTCGGTGTATTTCAAGTATCGCCAATTTGGGCAAATTTGTAACTTTGAGAACAATGGCAAGGTCGGACCTACAGGCCAGCACTATAGCACCGAACTGCATGTTCCGTTTGTATCTTTGTTTTTTAATTTTGAAATACGTTGACCGCAACCGTTTTTTAATTGACGAATAATGCGCACATCTCCAGCTTCTGAAGACGACGTGTTGCCATGGTAACCATCCACTACAAGCAGACAGAACCCTAATGAAGAGCACGTTAATGCATGGGTGTGGCACCTCCCATCAGATTGGTTTATTTGTGTGAAGTTGCGATAAGATACCGATTCTCTGTAATCATGATCGATCTTCGTACTGGTGGCATTGGGAAGATTAGTCCTTGTTTTATCCCACGCATCTTCACACGAGGAATGTTTAACAGTTTAGCATCCCCATTCCTTTAAACTAATCAGGGAGAAAAAAATATCCCGGGAAAAACGACCCCACGGACGGCTTGGACAAACGTTACATGTGTAACAAAATTGATACATCTTATGACGTTAACGCAATCAATTTGCCACACTGTATGTATGTAAGTACGCTTCCGTGCTTGATTTTAGATTTGCTTCGTAGATTTAGTTTTACGCCGTGTATAGAACGACTGATTTCACGGACGTTTAAAAATCGCGGTCCCAACCCGGGTTTTCAATCGTGTCACTCCGTTTTTTTACGGTGGAATAGATCATGAACAAACATACAGAGGGCATATAACCTCCTAAAGTAAATAGATTCAAACACACACAGAACACAGCGTAGTCAGGTTATATACAACTCTGTTTTAATATTATAACTCCATTCAATTGCTATCAAAGTCCAGAGTTACGGTGCCCATGCATTGTGTTCTTCTGGTCTCAGCATCTGGTATGCCGGATTGCGTTGTTCTGAGCGTCTGGTACAACCGTGGGGGGTCCATTTTATAGCTCTTAGGGGATCCGTCGGTAGGGGAGTCTTTGAAATAAAACACCCGTGTCGTAAACTGCGTAGTTCGGTAATCCATATGGTCAGTTATAACATTAAAATTTATTAATTACCTAATTAACATGAACAAATGATACGATTAATCAATGGAAGGATGGCAGCTGAGGAACTCACGGGTCATTTAATTTGGATACTAGTGTATAGTATGACTGTGAAGGCCCTTAGAAGATGGTCTTGAATAAAACAATTGTTTCATTTCGTTATTATAAACAATTTACTGCATGCAATGTTGTGGCTTGGTTTTCTTCCAGTTCCACGAAATGTGCCACGCTCTTTCTCGTGGATTCCAAATGGTGTGCTCCTACTAAGTTGCCTGGGCCAGACAAAATTTCCAGCGAACTACACTCTGGCAGATCCCCGCCACGGTCACCAGTTGTCACCCAAGTGTCACAATCTACGAGCAGTTATCACAGAAAATAAATGTTGTATAATAAAGTTGAATCAAATCAGGGAACGGGAGTTTATTTACGGAAAATTACGAAATACAAGTTTACGACGATCATTGTTATTACAACACCTTTTTTTATCACAAATATTTACCGAGCATCAACTCTTGCATCCCGTATACAATAACCGCATAATGCGCATATCCGTTTTGAATTCTTTATGTTGCTGGTGAATATGTAAATCGTCGTAAGTCGTTTGACAACTAATGCTTTAATCGGATGCACAACTTCCTGGGACAATTTCCAGTTGTTGTGAACGCAAACTGCGAAAAGAGATTTGAGTTACTCCGGGAATAATCAATATTAGTGTATTAACTTTTTACAAAACGATAATACATTCAAATTTGAAACTGTAACAGCCATTTTAATTATGAGCATTAGCAAACTTCTTACTGAGTGCATTGTTATGCAAATTAGCAATTATCTCAGCTTCTTTTTAGTGCACATTCCAGAAAAAATAGCTCGTAGACGCTTTGACCTTTTGTTTTGAAATTTTCACAAATGATTGACAAGGTGTTTATCTTCTAAACGCCGTCGGGCATTGTTTTTAGTTGAATAGTGTTACAGCAATCGTACAGACAACTAGCCTGGGTGTTAATTTATGCATAAACTTGAAGTAGTGAAATTGGAGCTGCTGCCCTACAAAATTGACAACTGGTAGACATTTTTCAAGACGGCGCTTTCTTCATAGTAAACAGATGTACCCATAAACCAATTTTGACAGGAAACAGAAGCATGGTTTAGAAGCTAATTTTTTTAAATCACTTTTGACCAAAAAAGCACATTTTTGTGCATATTTCCAACTAGAGTGTCCAACAAAACTTTAAAATTCATACAATAAGCTTTCCGAAAATATATAGCTTTGTGGACAAGGGAGGTCATCTTGATTTCCTAATTAATTAATTAAAATACCTGTCAGGTAAACTGCATCTCTACCTTAAATCGAAAGAGCATACAAGCCAGAGAAAAGACACCCCCCCGGTCCCAACATTCAAACACACCCGACCCGACAGGTGCCTGGCTTCCGATTGCTTTATCGGTAGGAAATCGCCCAGGGTTTACAGGGAAACAGTCAGTGCATAGCGTATACGTAGTGTGGCACTCGTACCACAAAGCCCTGTTCTAGACAGCTTCTGATTGCACTTTGAGAATTGAAACTTTACCTGCGGGGCAAACATGGGTGTAACTACATGCAAACAAAAAGTGTGGATATATGAAATCGCGATAAACCTTGTGATTAGAGATTCTGTTTGAACATACATGTGGTATAGGTACTTAGTAATTTACCGACGAAGGGACAACCTTTATACGAAGTCGTTGCTTATCGATAAACAGCGTGTCTGACAAGAGCTCAAACAAACTGTTAAAATTAAATATTATCACTCAACGACACTGACAGGGTGTCACTGATAATTTCGGCGATGACCCTGAAGACGAACCCAGCAGTTGGTTATTTTCCCGTGCAGTACTGGTGTTTATCCTTGCGTCGTACGCTAGCAGTGCTGCGGAAGAGGAACACGTGTTCCTATTTTTATGAATGGACCACTCGTAATGTTAACGTGGCACCGTAGTAAAAATAAAAAAGACGCACATTGCGTGCCTACTTCTTAACATACATGCATACACCTGTTGTGGGTTTCATGACTCTGGACTACCTCCAGAATTCATCGTCCATGACAAACTCTTGAATTTTGAAAAAACAAAACTTGTGTAGTATCGGAGAATTCGACTCGAATTCGAATATTCCAACAACCCACGACGCTGTATATAATTGCACATTGATTTGACACGCCATTTTGATAATTACACAGCCGGTGTTTGACTACTACTACTACTCGTTACTACATCCTGCCCTCTGTGCGAACCGGCTAGTATACATGTGTTTACCGCTGCACAGACGTTTCTATGGATTTGGGCATGTTTCGGATGTATACTGCACGAAATTACTGATTACGCATGTATGTTGCGTACACGAATGTTGCGTACACACAGCCCTTCAAAGTCCTCCACTATTTCCAAAAAAAATGCGATTTTACTCTGAATAAATGCGTAAGATTGTCGAGTAAATTGATTGGTTAACGTAGTAATAAAGCAAGGTAGACAACGCGTAATTTGCATAAAACACGCCTACTTTATTTCGCGGGCTACCGAAGTGGGCACTTTTATGCAAATTAGAAACTTTGCGCCAAAATAGTTCCAAGAATCATTCCTGTTTAACACATAAACAAGATTTAAAATGCATTTTTGTTGTCAAAAAGAGAATATATCGCGTATTGTGTAGTTTTGTTGTCATTATGCGCGTAATATTTTGAAATTTATATTATTTGCGTAAAAATGACCTTAGTATGAGCTGCCCTACGCGGATGAATACAGAATGTAACAGTTCATTTAGCGGGTTTTCCGGTCTACATTTATTACGCCTACTCCAGCTTGGTGAATAAGCATTGACTGTGTGAGGGAGATACGTAGTATTTTCATTCTACCTCCAGTTTTCTTGTGAAATAAGTCAAAATTCCGCTCCAAGGTAAGCACATTCGATAGAGCACACATGTTTATGCCCACCAATGAAATGTTTTTGTAGCATTCCGTTTTTAAGTTGTGAAATTCAGTGAAACAAGTTGCCGTCTGGCGACTCCCAGTGACTGGAGATTTAAATTCTTCACGCGTAACGTTTTACTCGCAGGTAGGGTTGCCAATGATGCCAGACTACGAACTTGGGGTTTATTGCGTCTGCTACCGAAGGTGAATAGTTCTTAGTGTAGCTGGCAGGGTGGATTTTAGTTTGTGTGTTTAGACTAGTTTTTACTAAATTCTAACTCGACTACAGTATGTTATCGCGTTCTTGTATGGACTTCCTCGTATGCTGCTGTAATAATTGAAATTTTTTCCATGGTCTGACGCGTCTCTCGTTTCTTTTTGCTAGGAAATGCCAGAAATGGAACCAGAGCAACGTATTCAGTCTATATTGGATTACGACAAGTATCAGCCTTATTTTCTCGGGCACGACGAAAATGAGGAGTTTTACGGAGCTACGCATACACCGTCGCCGAGTGAGGACATTTGGAAGAAATTTGAGCTGCTTCCTACACCGCCTCGGAGTCCCGGTAGGCCTGCGCCGATACCACTGCTCTCTGTCGTCGCAGAAGCCTTACAGCAAGTTTCAGAAACATTGGACGATGATAACCATACCCAGACATTCGTGTTTCCAGACCTTTCAAATTTGAAATCGAACCTTATACAGGACTGCATGTGGAGCGGTGGAAATAACGGCACTCCAGAAGAAACTACGAAGGGAGAAACTACTCTGCCAGCGGCTATTGCCGCTTGTTTGACCCCTCCCCCTCTGGATTACGCCGTTGCTGAATGTGTCGACCCTACTGCCGTATTTCCATACCCTCTGAACGACCCTAAGGATCAACTTAGCGGACCATCGCAATCAGATTCAGGTAAATTCTATTTCTCTTGTTAAAACATCGATGCAACCCAGTGAATGAACGGGTGTTGCATTGTTTGGTAGCAATCGACGTCTGTGTTGCAACATGTCTCTAATATTGCTACAATTTTAACTAATGAATCTAATCAATGATAAGGCTGTACTGGAACGTCCACTAGTTTCCGCCCAGACACACATTTCGAAGGTTCAGAGACTAGTTGAAAAGCGGAGACCGTCAATGAATAATTCTTCACTTTTGTTGTTATAGTCTGATGATTCATGATTCGTTCATTTGGGCAGAAATCGAACAGCTGGAGTGGAGAGTCGTCGCATTTTTTTGTTCGTTCGTACACAAACGCTTTCTACAGTTTGTTTTACCACTGAAACTAGTTACGTAACGAGGTGTTGGACGCCTTTTCACACCTCAGCTTGATTTTAAAAGCACTTGACCCCCCTTTGTCGTTAGATTAAGCGAGTCTCCCTGCTGATTTAGTTGCTATTTCCCGGCCATGCGATGACTAGACAACTGTTTAATATATCGATCTCGCATGGTAATAGTCTCTGCGACCCCGATTGCCCAACGCGCCGGAGCATATCGGCTGTTCTTGATTGCTCTGCGATTAGACAAATCGGAGAGATTTCGCAATACTAAAAGATAACAGACGTGTCTGTGTGGTGCACTGGGCATTCTTGCAGTATGTGGTAAACGGTATGCTGGACATAGCTGCACGTAGACTTAGTCCCGAGTTTAGCCGTGTGAAAAATCTGTATGGCGGGAATTTTAGTTGGATTGCTTGGTCTACGCGTAATACATGCCATACATGAAATTACGTTTTGACCGGCTAACACAATGACTAATTCGTCTCTTTATTTCACGCCACCAACGGTGTGCTGTAAGTTGGAAAATGAGCATGTTTTCTATTATTCTGAAATCGTTTATGAGCTCATTAATTCAATGTAATGCATAATAAAACGTTCATTCATAACGCGCCTTATTATAGAATGACATTTTGCTTGCATAAAATATTAGACTAATTTCTAAGATTTATTGTTGGCTCTAGGCAAAAATCTATATGCACAGTTTCATATCATTTGAATGGTGGTACAGGACTCTCCTACTTGTGGTCATGTGTTAGAATGAATCTAGGGTCCTCTTAATTAAGCAATGCTTAATTAATGAATAAGTAATTAACTAAGTGAATTGTAGGTGTTAATCCATGGAAGTCAATAAACAAAAGCATTTGTTTGGATAAATTTGTTTATAAGCTTTTACTATGCTGCTGTCATGCTGTTGTCATGCTGTTACAGTGTAAGAGGCCTGGATACGTAGTTTTTTTTTTATGTTCTTGTAGTCAATGATTTTGTCCAGTTTACTGTTCCCAATTACCTGATGTAAACAGTGGACAAGTTTCATCATGTTGGGAGCTTGGACTGACTAGTTAACCTCTCTGACCCTAGGTCAGGCTCTACTTTACGTGCATGTCGGATTTTTTGAAAACTGTCAACCACTAATGAACTATTTTTTTTTTTTTTTTTAATTTACAGAAGAAGAAATTGATGTTGTTACTGTTGCAGAGAAATTACAACAGCCACCAAAAAGAAAGGTTACAGCGCCAGCTACTCCTGCATCAAACACCGCCACTACCACTACCAATACTACAAGTAGTATCACTTTAAAGCGAGTTAGACCTAGTCATAACCATCATAATCATCATTCATACTCTACACCAGCCAAGAAAACAAAACAAGAACTGTCCATGGCAGAGTTGAAAGCACTGATGCAGCAGTCAAATGGAGGTCGTCGAACGCCAGGAAACAGCCGACCGGGCAGTCGTTCAAGCAGCAGACCTAGTTCTGATTCTGAGGACAATGATAAGCGTGCCACGCATAATGTGCTGGAAAGGAAGAGAAGAAACGATTTAAAAACAAGTTTTTTGACTCTGAGAGACAATGTTCCAGAATTGGAGAATCAGGAGAGAGCACCAAAAGTTGTAATTCTTCGCAAAGCCACTGATCATATACAACAAATCACTGCCGATGAGCTACTCCTGGTAAAGGACAAAGAGGGCTTAAAAAAGCGAAATGTTATTCTTCTGGACAAACTTAACAGACTAAAAAACGATCTCAACTTTATGTTGTATTAGAGCCTGCTTGGATACATTTATACAGATAAAATTGTATATTTTCAGTTTCAAGTGTTGCGTGATGTGATGTGTCGGGGGGGAGATAACTCACTAGCCAACTTTGTATATATTATTTGTTATATTTCTAACAAAACTGATAAAAAATACCTAATTATGATAAAAAAAAAACGTGTTTGCTTTATCATTGTATAAATTTGTAAATGAAGATTTTATATATTTAGTTTATTATAAAAAAGCAAAAACACTGCCATTTTGAATTCGGTACTGCGAGTGTACTGTTTAGAAATAACGCTGGTTTGTTTAAATTACATGTAGAAACAAGCTGGCTCCCGTTTTGTCCTCTGACCCTTTGTTAACGTTGGTCTTTGTTGCGAGAAATATACATGAAGAATAAAATAAGTTTTCTAGCAAGGATATTAAATTGCCGAGCTGGGATGTCTAATCTTGTGTTGTATATTTAAATTGTCAATAAAACTGCAAGTTTGTTTGAAGTTGATTGTCATTGTCCTTTATCACAACAAAATTGGTTTAAAGTCCCTCTGCCTTTGTTCCTTTGTGATTCTGCTATGTGGAAAGTTGATTTGCATAAAGCCCGCCAAAATCATGATGGTTGATTGACATCTTTTTTAGGGTAAGGAATGCGTTTAATATTAATGAGATAGTTAAGCCTCGCCCACCAAATACTAGAATGTTCAGTAGTCATGACTGCAATAAGGGCATACAAGCTGGTCGAATAAAGCAACTTTAGTCAATATGGAAATCTTCTCGAACGATTTATGCTACAAAATGCCAGTAGCATAACCTCTGAATGAACCCGTTTGATAGCGAAAAAAAACTCCCATGTTATTCTTGACAAATGGCTTTTTGCTGGTTCCCTAGCAACGAGTGTCCACTGGTTGGAATGCTGCCAACCTATGAGTTTGCATTTTCCCATGCCCCTGTGATTATCCAGTGAATATTAACTTAACATGTTTGGAAAAGTACCAAATTAATGCAGACAGAGTATATAACTGAACTCCTATATGAACCTAATTATGCAAATTTTCATGATTGCACAAGAGTTGCGGAGTTAGGCAACTACGAATCCGAGGATTTTGATTATATCTTTTGTGTTAATGTTTTTAAAATGTTGGAAAAATGGTTAGTAAAATAACCCTAGAAATTCTGAACATCAATTACATTGATAATTAATCTCAAAATCAGTCAAGTTTATACATTTTTTGGTTACTTGAGAGCTTGGGGAGCTTCAATTGAGAAATGCAATCGAGCTAGGTAGGCTACCTCGTTGATATGAATCATGGGTAATTACAATGGCGGCGCCCATGCGGGTGCTTCCCCGATTGCCAGTATTGGTGATTTTAGGAGCTACTGGCACTGGGAAATCCAAACTGGCATTGGAATTAGGTAGCAGATTCAATGGTGAAATCATCAGCGCAGATTCCATGCAGGTAAAGTTTGATGTGTGGATAAATCGGCACAATCCTTGGTTCCCACGTGAAGCCATACAAGATCTCATCATAGTCTTGTTTACAGGTAAAGACATGAAGATTTGACCAAGAAAATAACATTGGAAGATCGTTGATACGTATTGAAAAAAAGTAGAGAATATAGAACTCGTTAGTATTTTCATGCAAAGAAGTCGACGTGTTGTGTAGCTTGAAAAGCATGTCTGGGACGGTAAAATGACTGTCCATACAGACAAAGCGTCTTGAATATGCGGAAGCACGTGGTCCAATATATAGACCAAAATGTCTCAAGTTGCCGTTGTAATATCTCAGCCAAGAATATTGTTATCTAAAGTGATATAACGACCACGGTTGCCCAATTTCAGACTATTAGAGCATCACATAACATGCACGAATATATTCTGTTGAATTATATTTATTATTATTTACACAATGTGCTTCTCATACTATAACGTATTGCCAGATGACATGCTTTCATGATACCTGTTCATAACCTAACCTTAATTGTGGAAGGTACTCACGTTTGTACCTTCCATGCCTTAATGGAGCCTTGGGAGTTAGGCCAGACTTTTGTTATTACTTGTTTCGCGAACCCGCCGAATCTGCGAATGAACAGGAGCCGAAAATGAAATAAAAATATAATTTTATTGCAGCGTAATTTCTCGCACTCGTAAGCGCAAAAAATGCTAAAAAAATATTATTTTTATCTTCATTTTTTTTTTACCGTCCGCCGCATAACAAATCCAAGTTGCATTTTCGTGGGAGTATCATTATCAAATTACCAAAGTCTCGCGCAGATGAGAAACCAGGTTATACATGGAATACAATTTTATTTCATTTCTTCTCTCTGATCAATGATCTCACTTACAAATCTTTGTGAATCACGCAAATCTAATGAAAAAAAAAGAATTAATTTTATTTTTTATTCGCCCTCCTCAAAAAAATTCAGTGTTCTCCACAATCCAAAATAGCTGGTGGGTGGCCTAATTAGCATAAATTTGCATATAATTTGCCTCCATTTACATACAGCATTCTAGCATTTATGTCATGAACTGCAATACACACTAAGTTATTTACTATTCTCTTTTTAATTTAATTGAAATTATTCTGCATTCTTGAAATGCAATTCGTGTAACCAAGAGCAAGTACAAGAGTTATAATGTAGAAAATATACGAGGTGATTTGTCCCCGACGCCAAAACAGGCGATTTTCAAAATAAAACTCATAACATTTGTGGCATCAGTACTCACCTGTGCCGACAGACGGTAAGATGCATTTACGCATGTACGGTCACGATACGTTGCGTTTTCACACGTTTTGGAATTCAAGAAAAAATGCTAGCAATCGGCAAAATAAAAGAATCTGCTATGTTCTCGAAAGATTAGACAATAAAGAATGGATAAATTGAAAAAAGTACCTGGAAAAGATAACTAAAATATTATTCAATTACAAATACTCGCGGTAAACTAATCCGGCAGCCATGTTTGATGTTTATTACTGCTTTCCGAATTCAGTACACGAACACCCAGAATGCGCTGTTCCCCTATGCAACTTAGATACTAAATCGTTACAGTGCCAACAGCGGTGGGTGGCCGACGGTCACCAGTTTGCCTTCTCCATGCTATTTTCACAATGAAAATCGAGTGAACGTTGTAAATATGGCTAGAATTTTAATTTTTGTTCATGTACATGCAATCTGCTAATATATTTGTTTATTTTCTGTGCATATACATTTCGTTCGTATATACTTCTTTCTTTCGTGATCGGAAGACCATTATTAAAAATACAGCTGTAAATTCAAACCACTGTAGTTGCGTATTGTAAGCAATAAGTGGCAACAATGTCGGGCGACAATGAATTCAGGCGATTGACACATTGCCATGAATAAACTTGATAACTGCTTGCAGACTTCCAGTGGTCATTGTTTATGTCTGGACTCTTGAAACAATAGCAAAATAAAGGGTTGGGCAACTACTCTTTTGTTTAGGCTTGGGAAGAACAATGCAAGCTTTTTACAAATAATTTCAGCTGGATGTACGTTGGTGGGCGGGTGTTGAGAGTTACTAGGCGACCGTAAAACTTGATGGCCCACCGAAAACCTCTTCTGGAGAACACTGAAATTGCCTTATAAAAACTCGCGAAACAAGGAATACAAAAAGTCTGGCCTTATTAGTAAATGAACAAATACATTCCATAATTTGTGCAGAAATTGTAACTCATTATTTTTGAGATATAAAATAACTTTCACAATCTCGATAGAACTTAAGAAGTTACACTGTAACCATCCCACCCATATCAGAAATACTGGTTAGTTATTTTGAATAATGATTTGAATTGACTAAGAAATCATAAATGTGTGTATACATATAGATGTTTATTCAATGACTCAACACCGACTAGAAATACTGTGGAATACTTTATTTTCACTGGAATTAATTTTCGCTAAAAAGGCATTTTGAATGTTCTGTATGGAATTTATTTTCACTGATTTTTGACAAGTTTAATGTGAAATATAGGAAAAAAAGTATATTCGCTGGATTTTATTTTCACGGAATCATCCTTCAGCGAAAATAAATTCCAAGCGAAAATAAAGTATTCTACAGTAGTAACATGGATAACATTTGGAAATGATAGACTTGTTTCATAATAAAGTTGGATAAATTTTAAGAAAACTAACAACTAATTTTAAGCAAGCAAATAAATAAATAAAAAAAAATCTAAACACATTAAATTAAACGCGACTAAATTTGACCACAGTTATGTTATTCACATTCACCGGTATAATCAGTCATGTAGTTGCAACTGTTGACTAAAGTTAGGTCACGGTTACTAAAAAAGAGTAACCGTGGATAAGTTAACCAATAGTTGTCAGTTGGAATAAAACACATTTAACTATATTTGGCTTTGTCATTTTAATTTACTAAGCCTGTGCTAAGGAGCTGTGCGTAAACACTACTTACAATTAAAATTACAATGGGGATAAAAAAGACGGATAAAGGAAATCAAGGTTAAAGGTTAAGCCTGATCCAACAACAAATTTACCTACTTGATTAATTTAAAAGGACAAGAGAATTAAAAAGATGGATTTATAAACAACAATAATAGAAAAAAAATGTGCAGGTGTATATTGCACCTAGAAATCATAAAGGACGATCTGTTTTTTCTCTAAAATTGGCAGCGTAAAAGTTGTGCTGTGTCTTAGAGGAAAAATAAAACTGATGTGAACACACTACTATTAATAATATTTATTTATTTGCATCTTTATAAATACCGTATTTCTATCAGTACAGTAGCAATAAAAGTATAACAAAGTATAATAATAATAATGAAATAATAAAGAAAGAGAAAATATTATCATGTTAAGTATAAAAGTAAAATGTAATGTGTTAAATTTTTTTACTAATAGTAATAAGTTTAATAATAATAAAACTAAGACTAATAATAATAAAATTTAAAGCTATCAACTATTTATTCTTTCTTGAACGCTTTGTAAATAAACTGAAACCTTTATAATTTCACATACATCTGCACTGAGTAATCGAATGAATGTATTGGGCAAGTGTGAATTGGAGGTGTGGCTATGCTAATGAGTGTTGTTAATCACTTGCATAGCCTATGGCGCAACCTGTTTCAGCGGTCCAACATCACGTGACTTTGATTGACAGTAGTTAATTATTCAAGATTAGTAGCGCGTCACTTTCTCCGATTCATGTTTTTGACTTTATTCGTCAAAATCTCAACTCGTACACTATTTATTGTCATAAATACTACACACAGTCACTGCTGTGATATTCATAGTCGCATGCATCCACTTTGGCATGACATAATTAACCTGTAAGTTCGAGAAAACGCGCTATTACCGAGGCTTGGCTGGAGCTGTTTACTACAGCGTGACAAGCAAGGAAATAATCCCTATTGTTTAGGACCGTATTTATACTATACCTGGGCCTTTAAGTAAATCTTTAGCGTCTGTTGTGTTTTCATTCAAATCTAAATTCTAATGTACTGTGTTGTGTTGTGTTGTCATTTGGGCATGAACCTTCACTTCAAACCAGGACTACTAGTACCTGGCTTGTCTGCAAACAGTATACAGCACATAATTATTCGCTAGGTTTAAATTTGTCCATTTCTCTGCTAATAAGTAAAGTATGCTAAATTAAATACATGTGGACATGCATGTGTAAAATAACAATAGAACTCATTGTTTCACTGGCAAATTCATAAATATAAAACACAGTGAATATGCTCAAAACATCAAAATAGTGAAATTAAATGTCAGTGAAAATAAATGGTTTTACAGTAACTTAAAATCAGGCCATCAGCTGGCTTTGTTTGTTTGTTAACTCATAAAAACGCTAGTGTCAACACTGTTATTTTGTTGTACAAATATTAGATAATCTGCTGAAATGTCTGCTTGAGTTCTGACTTAGTAAAAATACCGGTGTCTGAGAATTGAATGCTGGCCTTCCACCTAATATTTTGTGTAGTTCATCCCAAAATGGCATAGTTTTTGGAACCGCACTGCTTCTGTTGTTGTGCTCAGTCACTTCTCTGTACTTAAAGTACTATACGTAAAGTTTTGATCTTCCGTTGACATTGTAATGACGTCCTGTCCAACCCCTTTTCAGCCGCTTTTTCTGCAATCAGAACATAGACATTCCTAGACATTTCGTCCATCATTCTTTGATTATTAGATTCTCTCCATACAAATATCAGTAATCTTGCTTCTTCGTCTAACCAGTTCGACGTTCGACCTGTAACCTCTGACGCCATCTTGTGTAATGACGAGCATAAGTAAGTCAGTGATTGAGGGCGTTTGGCCATCGTATTGTGTTCACATGGCACATAGCGTTGTGCAAGAGCCGGTGTGAACAGCGTTTAGGATCTGGTCCACCCCGTTGACGACAGTGTCAAAAACGCTGATGCCTAAACGGCGTATTCTGTTCACAACATTTTAACAATATTCTCAAATAAAAGGCATT